TAATTGTTGTCATGTTGAAACTTTAGCATATCAAGTTTTAGCCTGAAACCTTTATAATGCTCAAAAATAGGAGTCCACAATGGAAGCACCAACAGTCCCTTAACTACAGCAGCAGATGCTTCCATTATGAAGATTATTTCATGTTCTGATCGGTTCCAGTTTAAGATTATCAAATACAATTTCTTCTTGTTACTAGCAAGCCCTTTTTTTTTTTTTTTTTTTTTATTCCTCACATCAGTGTGTTAACAACTGCACACAGCTGCCAGAATACCAAGCTCTTGTTTTTAAACAGTTCTTACCAGCTTTCTTCCAGATCTCCTCTGGCACGTATCCAGATGCAGGCCTGTGAAGGAATTCCCGATGCGATTCTACAGGAGGAGAAGGGGGGGAGGGAGGGAAAAAGAAAGAGCATGGTAAGCAACACATGGGGATTGAACCAGACTTCAAGAAACACCTTTTCCCATTCCCTGTTGCTCAGGAAAAAACGGCATGGAGTTTTTCTTTATGCAGAACAAGCAGGACACTGTGACAGTCACTCAGGAATGCCACACAGACTGGATTGATGTTTAGGGCTCCAATGTCTCATCTTAAGCCAAGCTGAGACTTGTTGGCTTTATTTTTATCCCGCAGTTTCAAGTCATCCCTGTATGACAGCTTTTAAAGCTGGCTTTGAGAGACTGACTGAGAGGTGACATGCTTCATCCTTTGTAATTACGCTTAGAAAAGAAAGAAGAAAGCGCAAGCAGCCTGTGCCTGGCACTTCTGGCTCTGCACACACAGGCCGGCTGCTGACGGCAAAGATAAAAAGCAAGATGTCAATCCCACCATCAGTGAGTGATCTGCAGAGAAAGGAGGGATGTTTCTGTACGCTCAGAGATATGCTTTCCTGTCTCTGACCCGTGTGGGGAACTGCAGCCGCACAAGTTTGAAAAACAGAGCCTTTAACTTTAGGTTAAGCTCCCACATGCATCCACCAAGCAGCCTCGTGGGAGCACAGAATTCACCCACGTATTTCCATCACATTTTGACAGTTCTTGCCCCCCTCCTCTCTTTCTTCTAAGGGTTTAACCTCTGCGCCTGAGCCTAAGAACTCTGAAATCAGCAAGATCCCGTCCACACCGACTTCAAAGCCACAGGATCAGACAAGGCAGAAAAAAACCCTCACTTTGGCCTGAAATTCAGCACACAGATCCACAGCAGATGAAAGCTGCTCTTTTCAAATAGGCTTTCAAATATAATTTAAAAAATGATCAACTGTATTTTGAAGTAACGCAGGAGAAATGTTTCTAACAATATTTATATTTACAGCGCATATTATTGCCTGTGTGATAGAACTCAGTTGTCGCAATAAGTTTTTTTACATCAGAAAGGTTTTGCATCTTTGAAGAGATTTCGCTTGAAATTAAGCATCCTTTATAATGTCTGAGTTTGAATTGGGACAAAAATGCACACACAATTCCTTTTAATTTTTACTGAATATATTCATTTTAGCATATTAAATTCATTCTAAGATATCTTGTCAGAAATTAGTCCTTTGATGAGAACGGTTAACCACTGGGTTTAGCAAATTGGGTTTTACATCCATTTATATAGACATGCAGTACTGTTTATATACAGTAGGCTACAGAAACTTGAAAAAACACATTTGGAGGCTGATGTTTGATCCTGCGGCTGGCTACCAGAGATGGGAGTGATGGGGCAGGTTCAGCAGGCAGGCAGCAGGGAATCCCGCTCCCTGCCTGCTGCTCCACAGACAGAGTTTCCAGCACAGGAATCTGCAGACACCGACTGGGCAGACTGCAGCTTCCCATCTGACAGGCAGCTGAGCAGATTTCCCCAGCTCTTCTGTTTATCTCTAAAAATGAATTTTTATGGGCAGAATTTCACACCTCTCAAACATGAAACAATGGGGGGGTGTACTTAAAGTTGTGTGCAAGAATAGCTAACTGTGTACGTAGGTTTAATTGACGTGGTGGAGGACGTCAGCCCCAGTGCTGGAAATGTGCAAATAATTGGTATCAGTTGGCCCATACGATACTTGAGACTACAAATACAGTTGTGTACACTTCTCCTGTCCTTTGGAGGTGTTAAGGCTTATGGGAATAGTGCCAGTTCAGCCAGGGACAGAGTGGGCAGAAGAAAGCTCAGGAAAACTGAAGCTGTCCTGCACTAAACCTAAGACACAGCCAGAGTCCAAATGCGGCAGAACAAGAGGTTGTTGTTTTCGCATCATGTATTTTGTGCTGAATTTTCCTGTCTGTGATTTAAGGTACCATCCACTGCGGGGGAATCACGGCCTTGATTTAAGCCCTCCACCACCACAGTGCTGGAGTATTAAAAATCACAGAATCATAGAATCGCTCAGGTTGGGAAAAACCTTAAAGATCATGAAGTCCAACCACAACCTAACCATACTACCCTAACTCTAACAACCCTCCGCTAGATCGTGTCCCTGAGCACCACATCCAAACGGTTTTTAAATACATCCAGGGATGGTGACTCAACCACCTCCCTGGGGAGCCTATTCCAGTGCTTAACAACCCTTTCTGTAAAGAAGTTTTTCCCCATATCCAACCTAGACTTACCCTGGCAATGAAGAGATGTGGAGCTGATTTTTCAGTACGCATGACTTTCCAAAAATGGAATCCAATGACATAAATGACCAGATTGCCAGCTAATTGTTAAAATTTCCAAAACATAAACATCAATCAAGCTCTTATTCCAACCACAAATTATTTACATGAGGAATGAGATCCTCTGCAAGAAGAATTAAATCAAGAGCTTGTGAGAGACTTTCCCATCGTTTGGAATGGCACACAAGAAAAGACAAGAAGCATTTATGAAGATAATAAAACACATATTTTCCAAGCAAGACAAATATTATTAACATGACTATTGTTTAGTCAGTGATGATGAGTCTATGAAACAATTTTCTTCTGGGGGTAAAACTACAGGATGTGACCAGAGGATGTAAGTTTTCAGGTTAAGAAACACAGAACTTAGTAAAAAAGAAAAAAAAAAAAAAAAGAAAAAAGAAAAAAAAAAAAAAACCAGATTTGGAAGTCTAGCAAATTCCAAACAAAAGTAACCCAATCAAGCACAGTCACAAAAAAGCCCAGCAAGGAACATTAAAAGTACATATAAATAAGCATAGCCAGTACTCGCCTACTAAGAGCTTAAATGAATTAAAGTGCAACTATGGTGCATTAATTCTAAGAGTGTTATGCCCACATGAATTATCAACTGTGAAGTGATTGACCATGTTTCTGGTGTTCAGCAAGTAGGAATTTCTTATAGGCTACTTATTTTTGGTGGTTTTAAGATAAAGATAATTGGTACTACAAGTAGTGAAAGAGAGAAATGAGAAGAGTTTTAAGAGCAGAAATAAAAATGGGTTTGGGAAGCAAAGCAGAAGAAAAGCTAGAAGCAAAAAAAAAGAGATGAACTTTCACATTATAAGAACCAAACCTGGGAAAACAGAATAGAAATACTTAAAAGGAAATTTGTGTTCAAAAAAATCTAATCCATGTTTGGAAAGATGGAATAAAAGATGACTTGAAAATATAAAATAATGGAAGTTTTTGTCACTAGATAATGACATCCAAGCTTACAAAACAGTAAGAGATAGAGATGAACAGCTGATCATTTGAGGACCTTTTAAGTCAGAAACACAGATTGATTAATATATGAAAAATACAGAGATTTATTTGTATTTATATGTATTATATATGCAAGTTTTACTTCATTCTACCCTACAATAAATATAACACAGTTGATGGGACACAGGTAACAAAGAAAAAACTCTTCAGAGCAATAAATATTAAATATTCACCGCCTTTTGTTTTTAAGCATCAGGCTCAGAAGTTGAGGTATAAATCTGAAGAAGTGTAATACTAACTGTAGTTAGCAAGGTAACTTTGCTAACTTTAATGGAGGACATGAGTTTCAAGTATTTGTGTACATCTTTCCTTCTCTGCCATCTAATACATTTTCGTGACTACTATAACACTCCTTGAACACTCATGAAATTACATTAAAAATATAACTGTGCTCTCATTTTAAAGGACTACGAAAAGGAAAACGACACCAGTAGTGCATTGCTGTATCATCTCCTTCTCTATCCTCAACCAAGGTGCAATTTCCAGCAACTAGCAGCAGTAGGTATTTTCCTCTTCCATGCCACCTGTGAGTTGTTTTGCAGAGCACAGCAGTGCCAAGGGCAATATAAAGAACAGATACAAGTTACTCAAAGCAGTCAGAACTGAACACTGAAAATACCGCTTGTTTCTGTGGCCGCAGCCCTACCCAGCAGCCTGCAATTCATGCAGCCACAATCTAGCCCAAACCTCCTGTGCAGCTTGTGGATTAAGAGCAATATTTAATAACATCAGTGACCAGTATTACAGAGGTTTTATATTCTAGAATTACAAGTCATAAATGTTACTGTGATATTGACAGCATCTCTGTTAGCTCATGTTGAGAATATGACGCGTATCGCAGCAATGCTGATTATCTGCAAAGGGCAAAGGAAAAGATTTTGTAACTGTGGCACGAACAGACAAATATCAGCAGGAATGCCCTAGCTAACACTGGAAGTACTAGGCTAAGCAACATTTGATAAAATATAAACAAACTCTGAAAGGATTAACTATTAAAAGTGTATTAAGAAATGGCTAACCTATGTATTATTGGCAAATTCATATACTTCTGAGAATTGTAGCTTCCTGGGGGCAAATCTTGCACATATTGGCACTCTTAAGTCAGAGATTTCAAACAAAACAAAAAACATTGTAAGACGGCCATTCCAATAAATTCAACAAAATATCAACTCTGCTGCAAACCTTCTGATGTGTGCCTATACCACTTATCTAGAGCTACAGCTGCACTCAGTAAGGTTACAGATCTTGTTCATAACCCATGATGTTGAAGAACCCTCATCTTTAATTTATCCTACTGCGTGTATTTCAGTATACGTTGTCTGATATGTGTAATTATTCACTATTAGGACGAAAGTGATTCAGTCCTCTTGCAGTATGCGGTACTGAAATGCTTCAGCAGAAATGGAAGAGTCAGATGATGTATTATTTACTTCATGGACCATCACAGTTCATCAAGTGAATATATATAAAGTATGAGTCATTTTTAGACTTTCATAAACATGTATTATTCAGACTAAAATGAATGGACCTATCTTACCTTCAGTACGCTATCAGAGAATAATGGCATCTTGTAACCTGTTGTAAGTGGCTAATGCATGTATGGGATTCTATTGCACTAAAACTGATAATAAAATATATCATTTGACTTCTTAATTAAAAATATCAACAGGAAAATACTCATCAGATACTGTGAACCATCAAGCTCAAAATGATTTACAGAGATGTCAAATTAAAAGAAGCATAAAATACACCTTACAGGAATGGTCTACTGGTTCAAAATGACCAGAATCTTCTTCACATTCCTTTGGATGCAACCAGCAATTCTACATTTCAGTTTGGAGTATTTCAGGAAGTGCTATCAATGAAGACCACAACATAATGCTTATAACTTATCACTCCAAGTGATGCTATTTTGATCATACACAGAAAGAAACAAAGACACGGATACTGTAGCCATATGGCCCTTTTTTTCCCCCCCTCCTCTTGCTAGTGGAGATGACAAGATGGATTTAAAGGGTGGATTACCTCATTTAAAAATAAGTACAGGAGAGAAACACTGACATTTACAATCCGTGCAGCAAATAGCTATATTTATATGTTGTGGCACTTTAATTAAAATATTGGAAAAATTTTTCAATCCCTTCCTCTTCGCTTCAAAGCTAAAATAAAATTCTCTAAGCAGAAGAGAATCTCAAAACTCACAGGCACCGCTTCAATTTTATTATACTTCTGAATGTTCACAGTTTTCATTTAGTTAACCAGATTACTTGAGAAAATTATTAAACTTCTATAGTCTCTGTGCACTCTTGTGCTTTATATTCCAGCTATAAAAGCCCTTCTTATCAATACTAAGGACTGATGTGGATACCACAGTACTGAAGCGATCAAAGTTACATGTCCACAAGTCCAGGGGAGCAGTTTTCAATGCAAAATGACTGAAATGTGGCACACTGAAATTGGAATGGACCGACTCCAGCCAGTTAAATTGTATCCACAGTGCTGCAGAGATGTCATTGACTCTTTTTAAGCAAACAGACTTTTTTCCAAAACCAGTTTTTTTTCCAACCAAACATAATGATAAAATAGGGATCTGACTGTACTTCTTATCATCATTTTACCTTTTGTGAGTATGGTTGTTATGGCTATCTTTCTTGGACTGCAGATCTATGAAGTTCTGGTGAATGTCCCGAGTTTCAGTTTATTGGTGGAAATTATAAAAATGCAGTTTCCTTCCACTTCTTTTACGTACACTTAGAAGCATTGGTGCCTAGCTCTTTTTGCACTACAGCTTTACTAGGGATGGCTGCCACTGCTTTTGATCTAGGGGTTTCCTCAAATGCTTTTCCTGAAGCTGGAGATGTGACTAGCATTTCAGATGTCATATTTATGAGCCTTTCTTTACGTTACATTTAACGCTATTCGTACAAGCCATTACCTGAACACTTCTTTCTGAGAAGGGCTTCTCTAGGGACTAAGCTTATTAGTGAAGTTGGGAACAGCATTTCCATAACCTCTCCTTTCACTGACTGAAGCTAATTTATAGAGCTATTGGCTCAGATCACTTGACACACACAAAAAAATGGTTTGTTTGTTATCAAGAGAAAATAAATATTACAGTAAGAATCCAGAGATTTAGAAAGACAATGATGGAGAAGGCATTAGATTTGGTTTTCTGCTTCTCTAGTTACAATTAAGTCACAGATTTCGTAAGTTATTTTTCAGGACAAAGGCAAAACAGATTTAAATGAAATACACTTGTGAAACAGCATACATGTTTCATTCTGCAAATGACAATGATTTACAATGATTTCAAGTAGATAGCATTTGATATGCATATTTTTTAAAAAGATAAATATTACTAAAACAATCATAGTTTGCTATTCTCTTTGAAATAACAGAGAACAATAAAAAGTCTTCAGCAAGATGGGATTCTTTATTTCACCTGTCATAAAAGGGAGGGGATGAGGCAAAAGCCCATCAACATATTAATAAAATACAGAAAGCCCACAAAATAAAATCTTCTGTTTACACAGTTATCCTAGAATCGTTTTTGGAGGTACTTTGTGTGTATGACTGTTAAGGTCAGCATGGGGTGAACATCCACCTGCTTAGTCTGCTTCTTGTAGTTGGGCACTGAGTTCTGCTGGGCTCAAAGCAAGCACACCTAGCTCAGGCAGCCCGGTACAGGATGCAGCAGTGAACACAAATATATATGTGTGGTTGTGGGCATCACAGATGTTGCTACTTCCTTCTTACGTGGAAACCAAGTACAGCCAAGAAATGTCCTTATCTTTATATATCCCTTCATTTCATTGCATCATAGAATGGCTTGTGTTGGAAGGGACCTTAAAGGTCATCTAGCTCCACCCTAGCCTTTCTGAAAGGTCCACCCCAAACTGGCCTTAAAGACCTCCAAGGATGGGGCATACATAGCTTCTCTGGATAGCCTGTGCTAGTGCCTCTCTGCCTTCTGAGCCAAGAATTTCCTCCCAACTTCTAAACTACATTTCCCTTCTTTTAGTTTAAACCCATTCCTCCTATCATTACACTCCCTTACAATGAATCCCATTTCCTTAGGAAAGGAAAATTCCAAGTTAACTCATTTGACCTCAGAATGTTAAAGCCCTTCACTATAGAGTGCTAACAATCCAGAAGCACCTATAGATTTCCTTAATCAAGTAGGTAAGGGGGAGAGAAAGAGGGTCAGGGTTGGTGCAGCTCTCAATGCTGTGCCTCTGCCCACCACCCTCAGACATTTCTGAAAGGAATGCAAATTATCAGGAGTCACCACCAAACCCAAACCCTATCACCCGTAAATGAGGTTATTTGGGCATAGTATTATATATCAATATAATACATGGTTATAGTTAATTTAGTATTCGCCAGAGACGAATATTGTATCCCTACTACAAAAGAATCAGGTGAGCAAATGCAAACTCCATCTAGCATTTAGCTGAGCGGAAACGAGACCAGAAAACAATATTTAATGAGGATACTGTACCTAATGTAACTGGATCTGGATTCACTGGACTCTGCTGTCTGGAATGACTGCTGCTGCTGTTACCACCTTTTTTTAAATCTTCTGCATCACTGTACCGCCGTATCCAGTAATTAAGCTCCTCACGGTCTGCTTCTTGACATCGCCGAAGTACAGTGAGAGATCGCCTAGTTTTTTCCACCATGTCCATTATACAGTTTAACAGCTAGCCACAGCAGAGAGTGGGACAGAGAAATAAAAAAGAATATTTTATTCATAAGTTGACACTAAAATAAAGAAAATACTTATATGCTTAGTGCTTGGGTTTTAAGAATGAATGTGTCTCTCTCTGTTTTTCTAAACACATCTGTAAAAATCTAGTCTTAAGAATAATGATTCCTTCTTTAACTTATTATCTTAAACTGTGAAGATGTAGATTCTTGGAAGAAAGGGAAAAGAAGTAGTAAACTGAAAGGACTGTAGTACCATCACCAGTAACGCACAGCACCATAAAGGCCTGGTGATGCGACCCAGAACTGATGTTTACAAATGTTTTAAGAGCTAACAATCTCCAATTAACCAGTTCTAAAACTGACGGCCATGTGTCTCATACTCAGTGCCCACAGAGCAGAGTCCTTTCCCCATTTGGTAGTCTGTAATAACTAGGATACTGCATTTTGTATACACATTTGAACAGCAAGGCCTAATATGAGCTACCTAACAGGGAATGTCAAGCTCCCAGCTTTAATCAACAGTACCTTCCAAACAAATTCCTGTCTTACAGGGCTCCTTTTAGACAATTATATATAAGCGGATTTAGCCCTTACATGGTCAAGGTGTTTCCACTCTTCTGCCCATTCTCTGTCTGTTAGTCTGTGATCAATCATTTCTTCTTGACGTGTGCCATGCAACCCTGCCAAAAAGGAGCAAATCATGTTTACAGGGTTGGGAGTCCTCTAGGGGGAAATAAAAAAAGAAAGAAGAACCCACTGAATATACGTGGCTATCTACATATCATACATCAGCTGATCTAGTATGTGGAATACCACCACAAAAATAAATAGATACTTAAAAACTACATTAAAAGTCATCATTAGACTTTTCCTCACAGTAGATGCTTCTGTTTTACTCAATATACTGTCTTCAATTCTGCAAGTTCTGCAGGCTGTAAGATAACCTCTCAAATATAGCTATAACTCTTTCTGAAATATACAGTAATATAATGCAATATATCACTTTTCATTTACACTTCTTGAAGAAATCAGAAAGGAATTATTTGGGAACTGTATCAAATATTAGCTGTACTTCAAAAGTTGAAAAAATATTAGTGCGAACTTAAAGTTATTTCACTAAATGCAGTAATTGCTACCATATCAACAGAGCATCATTAAGGGTTCATCCCTTCATAGATGTATTAAACAACATGTGGTTAAATGCAGCACATAAAACATAGCAGCTGACAACATGGTAGAACCAAATCAGTATTTATTATCAACACTCAGAGGAGCTGACACTTGCTTCTTGTTTAGCCTCCTCTATACAGATGCTGAATATTTGTAAACGTTCCTCTTTTATTGAAGATTTGTTTAAAATAAGCCAAGAACAGTATGTGCAGATGTGAAGCAAGCTAGGCAAATCCAAGAGCATCAGCCACCCCTGTAACCCAACGCGTGCTGCAGCAAGTCCTGCATAGGGTGTGTTGCTTCTGCTGTACATGTCTTCTACAGACATCCCCACATTGCAGTGCACTGAAAGCAAGCTAAACCAATTTGTTTTACTGTCCCAAATGAGATATCAGAAGAAAATTAAGATGATCCACTATCCTTGCTTAGCAGACACCTGAGCGTCTAACTCAGGTTAACTATGCAGCTGTAAGAGCAGGGGTTCCTCCTTCTAACGCCCTTGCTTTAGAGTGGACTAAACGCACAATTCAGTCCATTTTTACAAATACAGATCTGCAATAAAACGAGGAAGAGCAGCTAGATGGACAAACAGCAAAAAAGGCTACATCTGAAGGACAGGTATATTTTGTCATAAAAAAAAAAAAAGAAAAAGAAAGAAAAAAAAAACCAAACACCTGTTCAAAACTCAGAATAATTACAAAGGAAAAAAAACTCAAAAAGCAATGCAGAAAATCAACATGCCTTACCCATAGGTCTGTTTCTGTCCCTGAGGTCCCTGTGGTTGGGGTGTCTGTATGAGTCCCTGTAGTGGTGGGCAATGGCCATATCATCCAAACGATAATGCTGAGGTGGAGGTGGGGTGGGATGAGGCAGACCATTGGGCTGATAAGATAAGCCATTATTTGGACTGTACCGCTGGCCTGGGCTAATAGTGCAGGGCCGCTTGCTTGGATGCTCTGAGTGCAAAGGCTCTCTGTCAAAGCCGTTTTCTTTGGTTCTGAAAAATAAAAGAAAGGAACCTTAATCCACTTTGTGAACAGAGCTGTTCAGGTACACTCATGCCCACCTACATAGGGAGCTTTTGGATCTTTGCTCCAAATAAGGGGTACAGAACATTTCATAACACTGCTTTATTCAGAACATACATTCAAAAAATACTACAGTCACCCTTCCAGTGGGACAGCTTTAAGACTGGTCCAGGGAGGATATTGTTCACCCAAATCACCTGATGACCTGATGGTTACTCATGTAACTGCAAAACTGAAGCAGTCAACCGATACACGAAGCCAGAGGCCATGCAATGATCACAATATACTTTTAATGACTCTTGGCATGATGGAATATGTTTGCAATAACTTTCAATAGGTAGTGATGTTTTTGACTTCTCTCCAAGACAATTTTTAAAATTTAGTTGGCAGTGTGCATCTTCTTTGCATGTATCTACTCAAACTCAACATTCAGATTTTTCAATTGTAATGTTACTATACGAGCGAAATATGGACTCTTCTGTATGAACAAGCCAAGCTATTTTCTTTGTGAAAATATTCTATGCTAATGATGTCTCTAATAAAGATGGGGAAAGAAATCAGAAACTGTAGATTAGCTTCACTGACATTCTTGGATAGCTCAGTGTAGGAAAAGCGAATCAGAAAACTGTGGCAACGAGGAAAACAATGAAAGGAAATCCAAGTTTGATTTTCTGCGCTGTAGTGGATGGCAAAACTACTACTGTGCTATTAGTGTGCAAATGTTTGTAGTTGCTCCTTACTGTACAGGTACTTCTGTGTCTTTTTTAGGAATGCTCTATATTTAATTAACTGTAATTCACTGCTCTATGTAGGACAAAGCATCAGCATATTGATAATGCCTTGTTGGGGAAAATTTTTATTTTGCTTGTGTTATGGAAGATATTGACATCATCTTGGTAAACCTTCAAGTTAATAAAATTAAAATCCCGATAATTAAAAATGGCTAATAAGAAGTACAGCTCTAGGTGCTGTGAATATCCTTCTCCTTGTTGAGAAGCACAAGAACTTCTTCAAACAAAAAGATTTTGTTAACAGTATTGAAGCCGGCCCTTATGTTCAGGTACCTTCCACGTGAATTCACTGTTAAGAGATGCTGAGGATTCAGCCACCACATCATCAAAAGGCTCAAAACAATCATAATAATTTCATTTTCTTCTCAGTCAAAATTAGAGATATTCTAACATGGTGGGTTTCTTTTTTCTTAAAAAACATCCTGCATTTACTTTGTAGGCAGCTGTCATAAATGTAGAACCATTACATGACATGCTCACGTGCCATACAATCTTTTCTAGCAGTCACAGAGGATGACTAATTAGCAAAAAGTCTTTTCCAGTTAATGTATTTAAAATCATGTTATTTATACCCACGCATTCATTCACCAAAATAAAAACTCATACTGGTCCAAGTTCCTTTGCTTTACTGTAGTAGCATGTAAACTTCAGAAGTTGTAAACAAAATATAGTGAACACTTTGTTCATGACATGTCATGAACAAATTACTAAAATGTGTTGTCTCCTCAGGTGTCAGTTTTTCTCTCTTGCAGTGACTGATGGTTCCCAGTGTTATTACAGAAACAGATTGATCTTTTTAATGAGCTAGTTTAATAGACTCCAAAATCTCACCGTGGCTGCTCATCCGTGTCAGACCATATGCACCAAGAAAACATTCAGTAAAACACGAAGCTCTGCTGTCAGATTGCTCTATAAAACCTCACATACAGTAGCTCTGGATAGGCTGATAAATAACTAGAACTAGAAAACGCATATGCCAAAAAGACTCTGAAATTATAACCAATGAGAATTACTGAAGATATATTTTCCTTAACAAAAAATGAAGAGGTGCATGTGTTTATCCGCAACACACTCACTCTACTTCCTTCACTTAATCCCTTACTGAATTTTTACGTCTGTTGGAGTCAACAGTATGCAGCTATCTGTGCCTGAAAGAATAATGTAAATACAGAAGGATATATGTGTATATTTCTCATATACACATGTGTGTGTAATCTCTATATATCATTATCTAATACACACACACACATCAATATATGATATACATAATAAATGGTGATGTATGATGATATATAATGGGATATATATCCCATTTCCCATGGAAAGTGAAAAAATACCACATTTACTCCAGCAGCAGACACATCTCCAAACAAAACTCTTCCAACCACATTTAGTTCTCCTTGAAAGATGTTGTCTTTCAGGCACTTTTTGCCACATATTTTAGCAACAGGGTCATAGAAATCCCTCCTCTAAAAAGACGCCTATTATCTTCCACTGTATATTTACTGGTATATTTGAAATCTACTTAGACATCTCAACAAAAGATCTGTGTTCCCTCCTGCTGCTCTGTAAACAATTACAATAATGTATACCTTAATAAGTATCAAGCTAGACAAGTATTTGGTTTCTATACTTGGTCTAGGCATGCTCTGACTCTAAGGACAAATTCTGTGTGGTTTATTTAAGCGTGTATATATATGTATATATATACACACATTTTTATATATAATTTATACACACACACACATTCATTTTATTTATATTTTATTATATATCATATATAATTTTATATATTATATATATAGTAGAATATATATATATATATTCTATTTAATTTATATATATAATAAATATAATATATATTTTTATTTTATTATTTATTTATTTGTTGCATTGTTTCAACAACAGTCAACAGTGATCCAGGAACTATTTATTAACCAATGATGGGGTTGTTTGATTCTGCAGACAAAAAAACAAAAAGCACAACTATCCTCGAGCTCAAGGAGCTATTCTAATGGTTGAAGTGGGCAGTTTTTCCAGGTCTTTTAAGATAATAATCAGAGAACCTGGCAGTGAAATAAATGAATAAATAAATAAACAAATGAAAGCTGCATGTCTCTGAAATGCCCTTGCCCCCAGAATTAAGGCATCTAATTCCAAGTGAGCATTTTCAGAAGCTGCCAGGCAGCTAACAGCTTCAGCTGCTTGCACCAAGCAGCACAGAGCACAAGTTCTGCCACCCAGTGTGCTCCCACATGAGCAGCTTCCCAAAGCTCACTCTTCACATTTCTCTCCTGGCTTGCCATAAGAGCTGCACTATGACATGGAGAGCAATTGGAGACTCCCTGAGCTGGAAGGAGCTGGAGAGACACCTCAGCTGTAAAGGCAATAGCATCATGAACAGAGGCTTTCAAAGCAACTATGTACATTAGCATAGAAACAAAATCCATAAAACAGACTGAAATACCCCCAAGTCTAGCTCACAGTTTTATTCTAAGACTTTAAAATCCAATATTCTCCTGATCTGTCGATCCTCCTGTGAGCAACTCCTCATGCCCTTTCTACTTTAAGACTCATAGGGGTCCTTTCACAACTTTCACAAAGTTCTCAGACTGGTCTTCACCTTCACCATCCATCTCTCCCATACAACAGGTGAGATGGCACTTCCCACAAAATCACTGCAATTCATCACATCAAACTGAACATCAGCGGAAAAACAAAGGAATATTGTATTGCTCATTTTCTCTTTATGGTCATATGGGAGAAGCAACTAAAACTGCTATTAACAGCAAAAAATAAGCTAAGGCTATCAGAAAGGTGCGTCCCACCCCACCTTCATACTCTGCCATGCCTCACAGGCTTATCAGGTAATTCAATATATTTACAGGAGAAACACCATGTCTACTACTGACAACGGACAACATCATGCTGATATTTAAATCAGTCACAAGATCTACAAGATTTTTTAAGAGGTCTTTTTTCCCTACAGTGTATACACGCTTTGGTATGCTACTCTGCAAAGACCAAGAGCATGCAGCAGAACTGCCCCAGGGAGCTAAACCTCAGCTTTGGAAATGTTATCTCTTTATGTGGCTCAAGATCTTGCATGGAAAATGTCTGAAAATTAATCCTCTTTCTTAGATCTAGTTAGCAACTAGTTAGCATCAATGGCTGTTTCAGCTCATCTTAACAGACAGGAAAAACTAGAGAGAACAGAAAATCTACAGATTTCTTTATTTTTGTGCTAGCACATCAGGATTTCCCAGAGACATCAGCCAAAGCACATCACTTTCAAATATTTTCCCTTTTTTTTTCTACTTAATGGCTAAGTTAAATCTTACTATCATTCTGCTTTATATTTTACTATGCAATATTTTCAAGATCTAGCCTCATGAATATCTCATTCCTGTGAGCTCCAATATTTGATGTTAAATTTTTTCTCTACTAGTCTTGGAAGCCTTCATTTTTTATCTATACACTTCATAGAATCATACAATATTCAGAGTTGGCCAGGATCCATTCGGATCATAGAACAGCCCAGACTGAAAAGGACCACAATGATCACCTCGTTTCAACCCCCCTGCTATGTGCAGGGTCGCCAACCACCAGACCAGGCTGCCCAGAGCCACATCCAGCCTGGCCTTGAATGCCTCCAGGGATGGGGCATCCACAACCTCCTTGGGCAACCTGAAGTCCTGGCTCCACACTGGACCACCCAGAATTCAAACTCTTTGCCCGAGAGTACTGTCCAAACACTCGTTCGAGCTCTGTCAGCTCAGCCCTGTGCCCAACTGCTCTGGGCAATCTGTTCCATGCCCACCATCTTCTGGTGCAGAACGTTTTGCTGATATCCAATCTGATATCCGAATTTGTGCCATCACAGCCGGTTTCCATCAAAAAGCATGTAAGTACTGCAATCTATATAGAATCTATGAACTGCAGTCCTTCCTGACTTTGTAAACCTTCATCTTAACTCCTTTATAAGGTAACTGGGATGCCTGCAATGCCTTGGGCATGCAGCTAGCTGGACTGGGCAGAACAGCATTATAAAAGCTTTCTATATTATAACGGCCTGTGGCAAACAAAACTAAGAATAAATTCAATGTTTGGTCCTCCCAAATTTATATGTTAAATGAATTTCTAACACTAGCACAAGAAGATGTCAACAATAAATGACCACAATGGTCTTTTTCTTGTAATACTGAACAAAGAACTTTAGTCAAATAAGAAAAAGAGAAAATTGTTCCATATCCCTACAGCTACTGTACACACAGGCGCTTGCTCCCTTTCTGCACACTCTAAGTTCAATAAGACAACAGATTTCAGCGAACATTTCCATGTTTGGAACAAATCTTAAGCACATTCTTATGCCGTGCATAAAACATGGCATAGCAGAAAGACTCACATCCCTGACTGCACTCTGGAGCATCCCAATATCACTGATTAGCCATCTTCACCATATTTACTATTTGTCCAAGAAATTACTTAATACAAAGAATTTATATATGGAGTTGGAGTGATTTACTCCACACTTCACAGAAAAACTGAAGCAAATGGTTAGTAAGACACTAACTGGCCAGTGTTACTTCTGTGTAGGAATGGCCATGCTGTGTCCTCTGATGATTTTACTGCATGAGTCAGTGTGTGCATATATATAAATGTACAAGTACACAAAGGCAATCTGGATGCTATACAACTGTGACAAAGGAAAGACCTGCACCCAGGGCAGAGAATCCCAGAACCCCAGGATGGCTGAGGCTGGCAGGGCCCTCTGGATCCCTCAAAATCAGAACCAGCCCTACTCCAGCAGTGACACCCAGAGCAGGGGGCCTAGGTCCATGGCCAGGCACCTTCCGAAGGTCTCCAAGGAGGAGATCCCACAGCTTCTGGGCAACCTGTGCCAGTGCTTTGGCACAGCACAGCAGTGCTGCCTGGTGCTCAGAGGGAGCCCCTGCACTCCTGTTTGTGCCCACTGCCTCTTGTCCCGGCACTGGACTTCCCAGCCCACCCCTTGCTGGCAAGGCCAAGCATGCTGCACCCAACAGACACAGCCATTCTCACCTGTCTGGAGTTCGCCTCTTCCCGTTTTCGTTCACATCGAGAAGCAGCTCTGAGGAGTCAACAGGTGAGGTGGTGCTGGCATCCAGAAGCAGCTGTTCGTGCTGGGCGAGGTACTGGGCTGGGTTCTGCTTGGCTAGCCTTGCACAGTGCAGCAGCTCCCGCTGCAGCAGGGGCAGATTGGCCTGCAAGGACATAGCACACATCAAAGCCAGGTAGTTCACATGCAGTTTCAACAAGGACAAGTTTAAAAAAAAAAAAAAAAAAAAACCTATCAATGAGAAACACACTCTGGGATGAATCTGTTGCACAAATTGTGAATTAGATTTGAAATGGTTGGCTGCCTGAAATCAGACAGCTTCACTAGAGGTCAGGTTGCGGCTGTACCAAGTAGGCATGAAAGAAAGGGAACTCTCACAAAAACAAAACAAAACTGCAAATGCCATGAGAAAACCAGGTCTGAATTCTACTCATTTAACAGGAAAAAACATTGCCCTGGTTGACTTCATCTTCTTCCTTGCTATCCGGAACATAAGCTCCTATAGAGCAGCTCTGCTTGTTTCTGTTTGTTTTCCCACCGACAAGCCCTTTTTGCTGTCTCCACTCAGACTGCAGTTAGCACTTAGAAATCTTTAGAAACCATAGGATCCATGTCTCTGTAAGCTACCTTTGTCACCATCCTTCAAGAATAAAATGCCCTCAGCCTTCCCCAACATGTTCACAGTCGTAAGATAATGACTACAATAAAATCTCATGTTCCAGACCTCCAGCTAATCACCTGGAGGACCACATCCCTGCTTCATGTCATATGCAGCCTGAAGTAATTTTTAACTTTTCTCTCAGGACTCCACTGGGAGTTGTTGGACAGTACCAGTACTCAAAAGAGTATTGAAAAAGCTGATTGATCCCCAGGTGGCAGGTTTTCCATATTGAGCAACACTTCTCATCCAATTTGGGACTGGAGTAGAACCATATGTCCCTTCCCTTGGAGACGACATTTATACATCTTGGGAAACTTCTTCCTTTCCTTTCAGTACATGCATAAATACTAAGACAACTCATCCATTTCTTACCTACATATTTGTGCTGCAAGGTAATGTGCACATCCTTCTTTCTTCCATGCCCAGTGCACAGTAAATGTTGCCTGGGGCTTTTCAAGTATTAGACTACGTTTCATTGTTTTTTGTAACTAGATGGGAGACAAAGAACTCTCATGGTTCCCTTCCTTTTAAAGAAATTCCTTCAAGAAAAAAATTTTTTTCTTTTCTTTGAATAGGAAAATAGGCAAAAGATTCTGAATCTAATGTGCAGCAAATCAAGCAAAAAAGAACAAAAGGAAGATGTCCTCAAAAAGTTTTGAGCACAGGGGCTTGGGAGATTACTATGCTAATACTGTAACAATGGCAGATGCTCCAGGCACCTGTTGCTGTACCGTAGGAGAAAATTCCCTGTGCAACAAAAGTGCCAGAACAGGGTTAATAACTATGAAGCTTTTTAACATGATAAAAAAGTAATACCAGCAACTGCTATCACTTACTCATCTTAGGATATGAAGAAAGACAGTGCTGGACCTCCACAGAACACAAATGTTTTGTGAAACCATGAAAGAAATACCTTCTTACTGTTACTATCAATCTCTCACTTGGTTTTGTCTAGGGTTGCCACATAACAGGGAGAGATAATAAACAAAAGGGTTTATTTTTAGGGTTTAGTGGGCATGGTGATGATGGGTTGGCAATTGGGATTAGATGACCTTAGAGGTCTTTTCCAACCTTAATGATTCTATGATTCTATACTCATACATGGGTACTTCCGGCTCCTGGAGTCAACCAAATTTTAAGCTGGCTAGCAAAACCCTTGATCTATTTTAATTCTTTTCCTCCTAAAAAAAAGTTTATTCTTCCTATTTAACCATAAACACACAGATTTGTAATTACATTTATCTTTTTTTCTAAACGCACTGAACATTTTTTACATGCAAAAAAAATATATTTTTTAGAAGTTATTATAGGAAACTACTAATTATGTGCCTTGTAGTTTAGAATATGTCTGGGTTTGTAATACTACCGAGTAGCATTTGAATGAAAATTTAAAATACAAGTGAAGAAAAGCAGCGTTTGAAAGCATTTAGTTCAACCCAACTGCTCACAGTCTGCTCAAAACATAAATATAAAAAAAGCTTATCAAACCATACGATAAAAAAAATTTGGTTTATCAGGGAAAATATAATGAAATAATAAAATAAGAACAACAACAATAATAATAATACCACCAAAACACGGAAAACTCTCCATGTCTAGATGAAGTGTATAGCCTGCTACTGGTAACCATGGCTGTGATGAACAACAACTAGTTTTCAGGAAGCTGGCAGCACTGACATTCTCCATACTGTGAGCAAGAAGAGATCAAGCTCCTAAGGAAACTCAAGTGTACTTATAGATTCTGAAATTCAAATGGCCTTGGACAGAGAGGTTTATGCAGATACTCAAGCTGACAGCAGAGATAGTTCTGGCAAAGTGCAGTTGCACATTTCTGCAAATGTCACTGCTGGTGCCTGCAGACACATTTGGACACCTCTATATGTGATGGATACAAACCAATTGCAGACCAGAAGCCAGATAGCTATGTTAGAATAGTACTGCCTGGAAAAAAAAAAAAACAAAAAAAACCATGATATTACTAGCTTACTGTCCCCTACAATTTTGTGCTTCATTCACTAGAAAATGTTCCTACTCTGCTTTGGATTGAGTTATGAGTCAAGGCTGCTTGGTCTGCTGCTTCTACTCTGGACCCACCTAGGGACATGTGTTAGTGGGCATGGCGGTGATGGATTGGCGGTTGGACTTGATGATCTTAGAGGTCTTTTGCAACCTCAATCACTCTATGATTGTATCCTTCAAGATTTAGGTAGTATCTTAGCCTCCTATGTTAGTTTTAGAGGATTTATTTTTATTTTTATTTTTTTTTTGCCCAGCTGTCAGATCTGTTTTCCACGTTTAAATGAGCTGTTCTAACCTGAAAACAAGCCATTATTTGTGCACCTGCAAAAGAAGCTATCAGCTCTAAAAGGCTGTTTTATCATTTTAGTGCTCATTCCAGGTAATTAGCTAATAATCTTCCATTGTTGGTGTTCCTGCTTTCTTCAGAATTTTAGCAACAGAAATATTTCAGTATTATAATTTAAATAAAAATGGTTTCATTAGACTACAGCACACTGAGGCTCTGATACAAGTTTTTTTATAAGTGCCATTTTAAATAAATGATTTACAGCCATAGTTTAGAAAGAAAAGATTTAAATTGGGAAGAATGTTTGCTCAGAGAACACAGCTTAACTCAAAATCATCAAATCACATATTGATATTGATACTTTGAACAAATATGTACAACACTTCTATTGAAAAGAAGTGTTGGCAGTACTGAAAATGCACCACTTAAATTTAATAGACTAAATCCTGCCTGATGTAAATATAGAAAAAGTGTCCAAAATGCTTCCAACCAGCAAAGGTTTCTGCAGGTACACAATCATCATATCTCCCTCTGAAACAAAGCAAATCAATGACTATTTATTATCTGTAATAGATCAG